TTCCTCTGCACCTTGTTGTTGAACATGTTCATCGCATTCAACAGCCGCTTCCTTACGTGTAGCATTATCATCTGCGACTTTATGCGATGGATCATGAGCAGCATGTTCTTCAATATAAACAACTTGATTATCTGCAACTTGCTTGCTTCCAACATTCTCAGTTGATAACTATTCTTCATCATTTCCATTTTTGCTCAATCTATCAGCACTGGAACGTTCCTCTTCAACTTTTTCTTGAACATGTTGATCGCCTTCAAAAGCCGATTCCTCACGTGTAGCATTTACATCTGCGACTTTATCTAATGTATCATCAACAACATTAATATCTTATGGATGTTCGTAACAGTCGTTCACCCTATCATATTCTCGATAGTTACTCAAATCAAAATTGCCATCGTCCATTCCATTTGATTTGTTGACAATCTTAAACAACTGTTCAAACTTCTCATTGAAATATTCCTAGAAAAAAAATTACTAACAATGATTAATCTGAATAATATCACCAGAAATAAAAAGACTTCTCTATAAATTAGTTACCTTCACTTTTACAAAAACCGCATCCATAATAGCAGATCGCTCATCCTTTTTAAACTTATCGAAAACTTCTTTCACGATCGTGCTTTTTTCTTTTTCTACATGCCTTTGAACCTCCATCGTTAACCTCTAGAATAGACACACAACAAAAATTTAGATATTGAAGAAAACTTCAGCTTAAAAACATGTTATACTTTTACAAAAACAAAACCAAAAAACTTCAGATCAAAACTTACAGAACATATTGTGTCGAGTAATTCATTGTCATCAAAGTCAGTTGTAGAACGGTTAGAACGACTCTGGGTACGAGATGATTCGCCAATAAAAGGAGTTCGATTCGCTTCTTTTGATCGACTCCGACTACGTGGTGATTCACCAATAACATGAGTTCGATTCGCTTCTTTTGATAGACTAAGAGTACGTGGTAATTCACCAGTTGAAGGAACCGCGTTAAGTACCTTTGAAAGAAACCGGCTGCATGGTAATTGTTCAATTAAAGGCACTGAATTCGATTCTTCTTCTGTAGGAATTATATCCAATACCCTAAAGTTGTGATATCTCTGTTTAATATAAAAAAAGTATATTATGAGAAGAAAAAAACTAATACGTCAACATATTAACACAAAGACAAAAAAAGTAACTTACTTCATGACTACTGAACAGATCAAAAAGTTCGGGAAATTTAGGCTATCCCACACATACATAACGTAACATCCTGGGAACTTGAGGGGTATCAAGGTACTCATCCTCTCTTATATACTTCTCCCGAATATCTGGGAAGCGCTCATAGAACCAAGCACATAACGGATATGAAAATCCACCAAGTTTATACTCAGTTGAACGTAATTTGTTCTGCTTGTCCAATGCATGTTTCAGTGAGTAAATGAGCTTCTCATAAGCCACATTACCCCAAGGATATTCAACACAAACCTTATCATCTTCAACAATAGATGCATACTCCTCCATCACAGATGACTCAGTCTTTTTCCCAAACAAAATAGACTCTACAATAAGAATTTTCATAAGCTTCATAACATCATCATCGCTCTCGCATACATGTATGTGATTCACAACATTCTTTGGAATTTCATTCCGAGTCATAAAATCTCGAATATCCTTCAAAGTCACACCCTTGGACTTACCAAAATAGCGCTTCAGAATATTGCTCTCTCGATTAATTGGTTTTTCAACATTATGTGCTGTAATCCGCAAACCGTACATAATGTGAAAATCTTCAAGGGTGAAGGAAACATCATGGCCAAAAATCTTGAAACTAATGGAGTCTCGATCATTGGTGAATATTCGAGAAAGACATAGACAATGAACCAACTTCATGCTGCATTGGAAATTCTCCATAGCCATAATGTATCGAAATGTACCATTATTAAGCTTATCCCATTGTGTAAGAGTCAAGAAAGTTGCAATTAATTTCTTCAAATCGTGGTTCCCCTTCTAGTAACCCTTACAGTTAAACCAATCTCGAAACTCAAAATATTTTTGTCCTGGTCTTGTAGGTGGAGGAGACATAAGGACCTGGGGGTATTATAGGTTGTCTAGGTGCTTTAGCTGCTTTGCGTACTTTAGCTGCATTAGGATCTTTAGGTGCTTTAGGTGCCATCTGTTCAAAAAAAGTAAAACATACAAAAAATAATATTAGGACATTATCAAAAAGATCAGTTAAACTTCAATCTCTAAAAAGGCTGAAGTTTGACAATTATAAAACAAAAACTTTAACTATAGAGCTGAAGTTCGACAATTACAAAACAAAAACTTCAACTCTAGAGCTGAAGTTCGACAGTTATAAAACAAAAACTTCAGCTCTAGAGCTGAAGTTCACCCTCCTAAAACTGAAGTTCACCAGTTACAAAACACAAAACATTCAGCAAAAAAATATGCTGTAGTTTTTACAAAAAAACAAAACACAATTCAAATCCAAAAATAATGTCAAAACATGAAAAAAAAACTTCAGCTCCTATCTAAGTTATCATCACTTTAATAATATCATCTATTTAACTCTCAAAATTTTTAAAAATTTGGACGTCTAATCACTGAAGAATTTATAGAATTCTCATCAACAAAATAAAAACTCGTTCAAAAAACCTAAAAATACAATCGTAAAAGTAAAATTAATGCACTTATCAAACTAAACCCTAAGAAACTATTTAATCATAAATACATGACTATCAAAACCAAAACCAGAAATAAAACCCAGAAATCGTAAAATAAAACCCAGAAAGTTAATGCAATGTACCCGTGATTAAATCGTAATGTAGGAACAATGATGACTAGCAGTTGAAAAATCAAAACAACGACGAAAACCGTTTGATTTCAGAGAAGAACAAATCAAAAAACGCGAATAACGGGAGAGAGAGACAGAGACAGTAGAGAACTAGCGTATACTTGGAGAGAAAGTAGTCTTTTAATAAAGAAGGGCAAAATAGTCTTTAAAAGACTTTTAACAAAAAAACAGGTACGGGTGAAAACAGAAAGACAAAATGGCTACAGGTTAAAAAGGGGCGCCCCCATGCAATTTTTACCCAAAAATATGGCACTTTTCTCCATTTGGGCAGAACTTTAAAGTTAAAAGTATTTTGTATGGCACAATCAAGGGACAATACTAACAACTTAAAATTCGTCAAAATAGCATGAGCTAATAATTTTTCGGATTAGTAATCGAAAAATAGACAGCGTTTGCAAAATTATTGAAAAATATCCATTATTTTGCTGAAACACAAAAAGTTCCAGCATAATATGCGAGATTATGGAGCTACTGCGTATAAACTTCCAACATATTATGTTAGAACTTCGGGACATGGAAAGTTCGAGCGTAATATATGGGATTATGGAGCTCAAGCATATAAACTTCCAGCATATTATGATGGAACTCCAACACATTATAAAATTCCAGCATATCATGCTGGAAGCTCATATGTAAAAAAATCGAACTTCAGCATATTATGCTGGAATATATTCAGATTTTAACAGTATTTTTGTTCAGATTCAATTTCGATTACTTTTGAAATTGTGGTTATTTTCAATTCCTAATTGTATATTTGGCTATTTTTGAATTTCACCCTTATGGAAACGACAAAAAATATGTGTTCCTCGTAATTCAAAGGCCATCTTCACCCGAATATAAGGGGAGAAATTCAAAAATAGCCAGATTTACAACTGCTCGTTCAAAAATAGCTCAGTTTCAAAAGTAATCAAAATTTAGCCACTTTTCGTGTAAAGATAAATCTGAGCGAAAACACTGTTCAAAACCCGGAAAATACGCCAGTATATTATACTGGAGTTCCAGCATAAGTATGCTTGAACTCCAGCATAATATACTGGAGTTCCAGGAAGTATATTTGTCCTGTATAGTATACTGGAGTTTGGAGCATCGGTGCTCCAGTCTCCAGTATATTATACTGGAGTCAGCAAAATATACCGGTCTAGCATAATATGTTGGAGGTCATACACAGGTGCACCGAACTCCAGTATATTATGTTGGACCGGTCTCTGTTGCAACAAAATAATGGCTATTTTTCATTAACTTCGTAAACGCTGGCTACTTTTGAATAACCAGTTCGAAAACTGGCTATACCGTGCTATTTTTACGAATATAAGCCCAAGAATCAAAGATACAAATTTTTCTTAGTAAGGGAGTAATTTGGTTGATAATGAGAAATAAGTATAAAAGAGAATATTTAAAGGGTTTTATTAAACGCAGAATACATAGAATAATTTATCAGAAAAGTTATTCAAGCCTTGAAGTTTTTCTGAAGTGATTTACATCCTATCACTCATGGCCTCCTTGATTTTAGATTTAGAAGTCAGACAAAATTAAGTCAAATTTTTCAAAAGAAAATCTTTGTCTAGCAAGTAACTAGGAGCACGTCTTGACGGGAAGGTATGTTCGTTATCATTATAATTTATAAATTGTGTTTGATTCTCGTTAGGATTGTGACGTATTACTACTTCTGAAGTGCAAACTTGTACCCAGTGTTAAAACCAGCTCCCACTCCTTACTAGTTAG